AATAAACCATTTATCATTGCATCTTAATCAAACGAAGCATAAATTAGAAGATTTATTCGCCAATATACGTACATAAACACTGTTTTGATGATATCTACTTGAACAATTGATCAATGATATAATTATGATAGAAGAAGTATACAAATAAAATAAAACGCTTAGCATTTCGAATAATTAATCTGCAAACGCATAAAATACAATAAAATGTTAATAAACATTTGAACGTACTTTTATTGAATAGATTATTGACGATAAGTACTATTGGTTGAAATAAGAATCAATAAAAATGAAACACAAAACCATAAAGACCAAAATAAAACCTCTCTGTCGTTGAATGAGGACCAGTTCAGGCTAAATACGATATACCTTCAAAGGGTTCAACTAGGGTATCCACATCAACGTCACATCAGTCCTATTGAGGCAAGACCTAAAAGGGTTCATGTCAGGTATTGACGTCAGGGTCAAATGCGTCCAAACAGGGCATGTCCTAAAAGGCTGATTCTTTAGTGGTATAAAGGAAATGTTTAATAGACACCCAGTGGTGCATACGACTCATTAGTCTTACATTCCCTCCAAGAAAGACGTAGGAACTGATTCTCTTCTATCCCAGACTAAATCAGTCCTATTGGGGCACGATTATCTTAAGTACAGACGTCAGGATAAAATCATTAAAAACGATTTCGAGAATTCCAACTTACTATTTAACTACACCCCGTATATTTTAAATCTGGCATTGGAATAAGAATAACCAAATTAATCGATCTAATACTACCCCCAATTTCTAAAACACCTGTACTTCTTAATATTAACCACAGCAACTTCATTGGCTCCATGGGGGATAACATTGTCGGTGTGATTAGGAGCCACAAATGAATGCAATTCATGGATACATAAAATTCCGAGCGCACATGCAGATAATATGTGAAACTAGCATGGTGTTGATGGTGATGTAACGAATGTCATTATCCACGTTGAAGCGCTAACAAAACACTCCTCTAATGTTTTTGCGTTTGTACTTGGTGCTATCGTTGATTTCGTTTAGCAAAGTACAAATTCATTATCTGGAGTTTCATGTATCCTGCCACTAATGGCTCATTAAACAGTCCATTAAAAGCACTAATGCTGTTACCAGTTTCCCAGTTGTGGGCAAGTTTCTTGTATTAAAGAGTAGATCTAGCCATTGCTGGTAACTATATTACTTGCTCAAATTCCTTTCCCCTGAACTGTAGTAGTTTGAATAACGACTCATGTCTAAGCAAATGCAGAATATTACAATGGTCCAATCAAAACTGAATACCTTTTAAGGTTTGTCTTGTAATATCGTTTTCAAAAGTGTGGATTTTTGAAATGGACAAAGGTTAAACCATTGTACAAATCGTCACCGTATTTGTATCTCCTGATTAGAATCGTAGTAAATTACGTTAAAAACTATAAAAAATGGGATAAACGGAAACTCAGATTTAGTTCGAAATCCCACTTTGAAATAGTCGACGATCATTTTCGTAATTTATTATACTTAAACGTAAAGTAAAAGTACCCCAATAGTACCTCATTTAATGGATTAACGGAGCTGGTAAGGGCGCTAACTCGATTACAATACATACATATTATGTACCTGTAGAATGGGAACATGTAAATCAGCACGACAGCCCAGGTAAATAGTTTAGAAAGTTCCTCCAATAATTTATACTACTGCAAGCAATTTATTTTATTCTGTACAACATCGCGGAATCGAGACTGCGTTTTGGCATACACTGCACATACTTACGATAAAATGCAACTTGATTAAATTTGTTTTGACGACCGCTGTAGAAATTGGTAGATACTTTTCTCAGTCAAGTCCACACAATTTAAAACTCAAAATTACAAAAGTTACTGATTTATCGAAGACGTAGAGCTTAGCATTGTCAAAAAGCTTTTTTATTTTGCAATTCCATGGAATCCCAAAACAATGATAAATCACTTCTGTTGCTCGTGAGCGAATAATTTAGAAATCGAAAGAAGATTTTATTAATTCCAACTATAAACTTATTAAGGCAACAGTTGAGACTTCAAATAAGGTCGGAATAAGATATTTTTGATCGAGCTGGGATTAGAAATGTAACCCTCCACTAAAACAGTCGGGGTCAATCAAGCAGTCAGACTTGATTCAGATGGAGCTATCTGTGTGGACCTGATTATATCATTTGGCCCTGATCAAGTTACCTGATTTTGACCGAATTAGAAATGTAATGTCTTAAAGCATTTGGACTTAGTTAAGCGACCAGGCTTGGTCCAGATATAAATAGGGTATCCACATCAGAATCATATCAGTTTTAATAGGGTATGCCATAGAATAGTTCAGTTAAGGATCAACATAGGGTCCAGTCTGTCTCAATAAGACATGCTTGTGTTTGAGACACGGATATCTATGGATATAAAACGGGATGGTTAGCGCGACCAAAAAGAAAAGTTTAGAAGCACTTGAAGAGGTATTAGAAAAGGTATAAGAACTGAAGGTCCTATGAAACCCAACAAGGAAAAGAGATATAAGATGGTAGGATACATTTCGAAACATGAAGGTCCAGTTGAAGACATAGTAGAAGCAGAGACAACAGTAGAAGGCAAAGGAAGAGCTACATTAAGTTATGAAATTTGAAGATTGGATAAGAAAGATTAAAGGTGTTTGTCCAACAAGTTTTCGGGCATTACCTCCCTTCGATGACGATGATGATGATGATGATGATGATGACGATGTGTAGGTACCCTAAGCTTTTCAGTTAGATACTGGAGCTGATGTTTTAGACAGTAAAATAATTTAGCAAATATCGCAACTATATTCAGTTAGTTTACTTTAGAAGCTTTTTACGTTTTTCTACTTTAAATTGTTTATGAAGTTTGACCATAAAAAATATAAAAATTTTTGAAATAGCAAGTTCTTCTTGTCATTCATACTCACTGACTATTTCAAACCCTTTTCAAGGGAATAAGAGAAAGTTCTTCTAAAGTTATTCAAAGCAATTACGAAAACGTATGTATATAGGTATTATGTATGATGTACATTTTATAGTATTATATAAACCAGTGTCTTCGGTTGTTTCAATTTGGTTGGTACAAGGATTGTGAACTCTAATTTATTGTACAACGAATAACGGAGAACTATTAACATTGGCATGTCGAGTACTAGTTAGTTGTACGATTGGCTTGAATATCGGGATAAATTATTGGATGACAAAAGCGCAGTTTTCAAAAAGGATAATAGGTACATCAGCAGCAGTATCCAAAGGCTACGTCACGAGACTTGGAGCCACGTTGTCGGCAATCGACGAACTCAGTTCTTGGCCCGTCCAATCGATTTGCGAACAACGACTACGACGGCGACGACGATCGTCACCGCCTCTGTTTACATTTTTGGCAAGATTTTAATGTATTATCATTACAGGGCCGTAGTCAGATTGTGTAATCAGGACACAAAATATATCAGGACATGCTGAAGCCGAATGTTCCCATATTCCTTAATGTTAACTCTTGATCCTTTTTGTAGGAACTAATTCGTACAAAAACTCAAAACTTTGAGCTTTCTTATCAATTGGTAGTCAATTGGAACTAGATGCAGAAAAAATTAGAAAATTTGTAATCGTCAATTGTTTTACTCATTAAATTTTGTTAAAAGTAACACAATGTATTGAAAAAAATCAAATTTTACATTCATTGACGATCATTGTAGACAATTAATACTGTAAACTATAGCTCCAATGCCAAAAATAAAATGTTTAGCAGATACACAAATGTTATCCGTAGTTATCAAAGAAATTAATGAAAATTGTGGTGGAGGCGCCGGGACAATTTAAAACAAAGGCTGTAATTGACCTATAATTTAAGTTTCGTTAAAGCAAATTGATAAGTTTTCATCTTACAACTATATTTTGTCAGTATAGATAACAAATGCAGATGCTAATGTGCCTTTTTCAATAAATTAAACTACTATTTGTAATATTATATACAGGCAACCCAATATACAGCAAATATTATATTCTAATACTGTAACTACAAAAAACCTAGAAAACGAACATAGTCACAAAAATTACTCTTTTTCTTGAAACTATTCTCAAATAAACTACAAAATATTAGCTAGAAATAATTAAATAATTAGTAATATTTTTAAAGACATCTTGTAAAATTT